CCGGGATCCGAGCCAGGCGGCCAGCAGGCAAGTCCTCCGAGCGGTCCTAGTTCTGGGGGGGTGAGCACCATCCCGCCTGCAGAGAGCTGGGGCTGCAGGAGCCGCTAATGCAGATGTTTTCATTCGGTAATTAATTCTCACTCCGAGAGCGAGCCAGGAAGCAAGCTGCATGAAAGTATCATTACGGTTTTCACCTACAAGAGATGACTGAGACAACCTGGCCATATCCTAGCCTTACGGTTTAGGGATTTCAAGAGTCTGACTGCTCTTTTCCATCCCTCTCCATCCCTCCTGGCATCGCCCTTAAACAGACTGAACCAAAAGTTATTGCTCGCCAGATACGGCAGAATAATGAGGGTGGGGAGTTGTTCATGGATTATTTATTCCACAATCAATGAGACAAAGAAAAATGAAAACAATTATTTCTCAGGTGTTCTATAGAGAAGGCTGAGAAATGGAGAGATATAATTTCTTTAGAGGAGCCCCAAAGCAGGGATAAATTATTTTCAGTGACTAATACACATGCTGTTAACAAGGATCTGCTGTTATTTAGTGAGTGTGATGAAGTGGTTAAGACTGTATGTAAGATGAGATTTTCAGAAAGGCCTTGGGATATTGGGATCCTCTATCCTATTGCCTTTCAGAGGGAGTACAGTGCTTAGCTTTTAGGTCACTTTGAAAATTCATCCATACGTAATACGTGATATCCCAGGAGAGCTGTGGCCTAGAGGTTTGAGCTCAGCACAGGACAAAGCTTAAGTGCCAGTCCTAGGAAAAAGTGTTTCTGTAATCTTGTCCAACTTCCATAATTTTTCCTCCTTGAATCTTTCCCTCCCTTGCCTTATCCATATCGAGTATTAATACATTCATATTTTAAATGCTTTCATAGAAGTAATGTCAATATGTCCATAGCAGATGTGGAATGAAAAAGTGCACTATGAATGTGAAGTGTTATTATACTTCTCTCTGTTTTTGAAAGAATAAATATTCCCCTAGAGACTTTGTTACCTCTTCTCTGCATCATCCTGAGCCCTCTGCCGTGCCCTCCCCATTCCTTACATCCACAGACACTTACCTTTTGATGTTCAGTAATCATTAGGACATGTGAGGTTTTGGGGAATTAACTAAGAACCAGATACTACTTAGTGCCATTAAGCTAGTTCAAAATTGCCTCCTTCCATAACTTCTTTCTTGTTAATAACTTCTATCCTCCTCCAGCTCTATATCGCACAATTTTTCAAATTTGTAAGCCTACATTTTCTGTTCTTTAGCTACAGCAGGACCAATAGTGCTGATATATTATCAGAAACTGACTGCATATATTCACGGAAAAAAGAAAAACTTCTGACTATGACATGCAAAAAATCCTACCGCTTTCATTCTGAGATCTTGCAACCCTGTCAGTATTCATTGGCCTTTATTATTCACCTGAGTAAGTAATAAACAGCTTCTCTGAGTAACTATTTAAAAGCTCAGCAGACCGGTTAGCAACCCAAATTTCTGCTTTTTAAGGTCCTTCCAACAAGCACAACAAAAGCAATATACTTGCACATCACCCATTTATACTTTTATACATACATATATACTTGCATATCACCCATCTCATGATGTTCTCCACTGGACAAAAATCTGTCTTGAGTTGTTCAAACTTCACACTTCTGTAGCATATGCTAACTGGGATTTCAAAAACATGCTCAAATTGCTCACAAGTCGGCACGCATTTAAAAACAGTTATAAAGGATAAGACAAGGAATTCAAAACAGGAAGATTCAGTAGGTTGATTGATGAATATCTCAATAATGCTGATAGTAGAAAGTTTCCTTGTGGTTTGAGACGGAAGAAATGGCACAGATTATTGCATTTTTCCCCACCTCAGAATAGGATCAGTCCTTAAAAACTACATAAAATATTTAAACTACGTAGCAACAGCAATGAGTTGTGCAAGGGTAATGCAATTATTTTTAATATAACCACAACTGGGGCCGGCAAAATCATTAACTTTGACTGATTCTGTCACACAAAAATCATTACAAAGATCTTCAGGCATTTTTTAGTCCTATAAAATAAGCTACCCATCTTATATATACTCTTTTTTTTTTTTTTTTTCCCTGAAGGATGTTTTGAAATATTACTTTACGTGATTCAACAAATCCAAGTTGAATATATTAACCTTTGAAATGAAAACATGGTCAAATTGTGTTAGGGCACAGTATGAAGTTATTAGACACTTCTCTCTCCTACTCTTCCTCCTAACCTTTCCTTTCCAGAGTCTAAATGTGAGGACGCTTCTAAGCAAGCAGTGAGACACTCCTGCACTCTCAGCAGGGCAACTGCAAGCTCTAGCACCCCTATCCTGCAACCCGCAAGTGCCTGCAACTTGGGTCAACAGGGTCCGGTACTCCACACACTGTAGGTTAGGAAAGTCTCCTAACAGACTGGGACAGACACACCAGACAAGAAGTGCAGAAGGAGGATCTTCCAGCAAAGCTACTCCTGTAAGAAAATTAATCCTTCCTTATTTTTCAAATCGACATTCCCTGAGTCTAGAAAGCTGGGGAGATGTCTCAGTCTACTGGTGAAACCTCCCTGGCAATTAGTTAACACACTAAAGTGTTAAAAGACTCTAGTTATTACAGCTGTACACAAATTTTATTGAGCTTAATGGAAATTATACACACGTATTGATGAATGAATAGATCATTCTGAATTTACTAGGGCTGTCAAGCATTGTCTGCTAAATGGAATTCATCTTGGACAGAGCTATATTTACAGTATGGGAATGTCAAGAAGAAAAACACAATGTCAGAAAGCTAGAAAGGATAATTAAGAATTTCAAACGCTGGTGGGACCAAATGGCATCCAATAAAGTGATCTGCTGGGGCCACAGAAGAAAATGAGCCAGGCTGGAAAAGAACCTGAAACTTCTGAATTAACATTGAAAAGTAAAAGCCATGCTTCTTTATTCCTAACAAACTACCATTTTAGCATCGTTTTTCCCTTTTGTACTTTTGGCTGCCAAGGACCCCTTGCATGGCAGAGCTCTAAAAATTATCCATAGCAGAATTTCCATCCAAGTCTCTAGGATGGCAGATATGAGGACTTCACACAGGAAAGATAGATGCAATGTATTTCAAATTATGACCAAACAAGACTTTATGATTATACGCATAGAATCAAATGCCATATAATAGACAGCTCTATTATCGAGGGAAGTCTTGGGTTTATTAAGAACAACATGGGGTTTTCTACTGGGACTGTCTTATAAACATGGGTCTTTCTCTGAGGGAGAAAGAGGGCACGTGAAAATCGTGATTATTTGCCTGTGAGAAGCTGTAAAGACGTGAAGAAAATATTTATTTTCTAGAAGTGTAAGGAAAGAAAGTCTTTCCTAACCTTCCTAATGTAGCTAAAAAGGAAGATGAGGGTACATTGGCAGAAAAGAGCCATTATCATCTTCTTGCTCCATGCAGCTAAAAATACAGCATTATAGTTTGAGGTGAATGCATTTTGGCTTGACCATCATTTTGTTGTTGTAGTTGTACTAAAACAAACAAGCGAATAAAAACCTGGAAATGTGCATATAGGTAATCATAGCAAAATATGGTTCTAGTTCTTTCTTTACATGCTTCATAACAAAGGTGATTTAAAAAAAAGGAATGTTAACTCTCAAAATGCTCAGTATGTCACTATTAAAAATTATGACCCAAGACTCTCATTCATACAGACATGAAAAGAAATTGAAGATGCTCCGAAGTTTTCAGCTTCATGCCCCTACATCTTCTGTAGTCTAAACATATGCTCAAGACAGCATCTACCTTTAGAAATTTCTTTTGGGATATCTTGGTCTCTATTAATCTACACGGTATAATGAAAAATTTTGACAATCAAAACAAATAAAAAATCATGCCATATGTCTCAGACATATA